TGTATTACAAAGTTTAAGTGATCACAAACTAAACTGTCTAAATACACATTCAAACATTCCTTTTTCCAATTAGTCTCATAATTCACCATGCATGAACAACCATCGCTCAATGAGAAATATTGCAAAATGACAGAATAGTTCAAGGTGGACATCAGATGTTTACCAACCAATTTGAACTAAGGAAGGGCATTCCAGATTGACCAATAGCTTATGATGGTAGGGTATCAACTAAATAAAATTCTGTAAAAGAAAAAAATATATTTGACAACTACAATATGTTTTTATCATGAAATCTGAACACAATTGATTTTACCTACTAGTGAACAATAGGTCTATGTTTCTTAGGAGAACAGCACGTCTTACAAGCCTAACATCAATAGCAAGCTGACCTAGATGTGTAATCTCCCAAACACCCTGGTACAATAGTTCATCCTCCAGAAAATCTGGGCAGTGTTAAGCAGATGCCACTACAGTTTACAACCAGCCATTAAAAGTGTTGTGTACATGTTGTGTATGAGTAGGGGACTACTGAAACCAGCCCTGTACCTAATTATAGAAGTGTTTACTACAAAACAAACACGATAGGCATAATAAAGACTGATATCAATTACAATTAAAACAGGAAAAAATCAGACTTACAGTGAGATAGAATCACTACTGTATTATTGGTGGGGTTTAGGAGTAAACTGAAATAACAAAGACAACCAATGCTATCTTCAGGATCCACACTCCTGATAAACTACTATATTTTCCGCATAATAAGCCGCAGCTTTTTCCTTAGTGGTCCAGACCGTTAAGTATTTAGGAACCAAAATTTTGTCAAGGCATATCACACTGTTGACCTCACAACCTAATAATTTTGGTTGCTGTAACATGTCCTGCTTCCAGAAATGATGAAAAATAGTGATTTAACCAAGGACACCTGTACAACACATCTATACTAATTTTTTTACGAGTACCTGTCCATCACACGTTTGTGACCGAAATAGATCATCTAGAACCATCATTTGCAACTGTATACTGGATGATTTTAAGATTGAAATAAAATAACATTCTCGTGGATTTAATCAATCATACCTTTTAAGATGAATCACAATAATATCTTCAGAACTTTTGTGCTTGCTTCAGAAGCCATTGCAGAAGTTTACGATAGCCTGTTGCATACCAAGATTGATAGTTCATCGGTTCAAATTCTGGAAAAACTGCCATGCTTGTTTACAATAAGAATGGGTTCATGTAACTTGTAAGAAAAAATAAGTGACTGTAATTTTGTCAGCATGCAAGGGCCTTCGCTTATATTTAACAGTACAGATACTGATGGAGATATTGTTCAGTAAATTGTAGGTAACGTCAGGCCCTATATCAGTACATAGACAATCCAAAATGAATTTGATAATTGCTATTACTGTTTTTGAAACAAATCAATAAAATAAGTATAATCTGTGGGAAAAATAAAAAGAGGTGGAGGAGTCCAACATCCTGTGATTGGTACTAAACATTTATTGACATTGCTGCCCAATGACGTCTAGCCTAGCTGGTCTCAAATATGCATTGATGATACCTTGAAAAAATTAACAACTAACATATGAACATTGTAACTGAACACTTCAATTTAATAACAGCATCGCTGTACCATTTTTGTATGTATATAATCTATAGATATCTTTGTTCCTTTTACTTTGTATAGCGCAACGATCTTTATTGTTATCATCACATGATCAAGACAATGCGTTATTACGTCATGACTGAACCGTAATTTTAAACTTAGCTATGCCAATACTTGTACCGGTGTTCTGATGACGGCTAGCCTAGCTAGTCGAAACATGTCAACCAAATAAAACTACCGATCACGGAATCCATGGTGTTGATGCTCCATCCTTTATTAAGTATAATCTGTGTATAATTCATTTGCAAACTGATATTAATTGTTTCACTGACGATCTAGATAAATTGCCATCCCCTGTCTGTTATATCCACAAACTTTGGTCAACAAATGGGTTAACCACATTGCAAGATTATATTCCAATGCCGCTAATCTGTGGATCGTAAAATTGGCTCTGTGGCTTACAACCCGAAAAATATGGTAGGTATACCTGGCCATTTGATGGTAATTTATGAACAATCAAACTTGAACCAGGAACCAGGAAGTAATGTACAAATAAACAGAGATGTTAAAGACAGAACATTCAGCTTGCTTGTACAACACAAAATCAAGGAAACTTTTCTTATAAATCCTATCTGATTAAAACAACACGCATCAATAAACAGACATGGTACCTTTCAATAACTCTAACCTTTATTTCAAAGAACTCTACTTGATAAGCAGCAAGATAAAATTTTGCTACTTCTAGGTTACTTAAACATCATCTTGCTCTTTACCAGTACCTTTGTTTAAAAGTTTACTTCAGACATTTCCAACAACTAAGAGCTGGAAACACAAAAAATCAAAAGAAATTCTTGAATATCATAAATTATCAACACTGTTTTGTTGAATGCACCGAGAATATATCAATAAATGCCAGTTTCAAATGAACCCGAGATATTTCTGTAATGGATATATTTCTCAATGAAAGCGTATTTATCCTTAAAACCTGTTTTGTATTTTAAGGAATTCCAACATCCCAGATTGGCATTAGCCGGTTTTGACAAACAAATCCACGCAAGATTTTAACATCAGTAATTCAAAGGTAAAAACAAAATGCTTTTAAAATGTGAATATAATGTGCAGATTACAATCTGTCAAACTAATGAAGCAGAAATATCATGCAGTTATATAATAAACAGAGCAGTTATACTGCAGACATTGGTTTCCATATCAACTAAACACCTAAACAGTTATCTTTGATAGGTCTTACATGCAATAAGGTGCACTCACTGATGCACGTTAACTGGAACAATGTTGCCGGAAACCTCTAAAATATTGCAAGTACAAAGAAAAGAGTACTGCAAAATGATTGTGCATTTGATCATAACTTTTACTAAGAAACCTGACACTTGAACTTCCTCCATATAGTAATCATATTAACAAAAAGACTAAAACTCTGTACACACTTTGTACTATGATACAAAACCTAAGAATTATTGAAAATCCTTTTTTAATATATGCATATCACATGAAGAGACACATGTCTTGATGCATAATTTTCTTTTAAAAAGCAACTACAATAAATATTGATGAAAAAACATTTCTATATCTTTACAACATTTTGGATTTCTTTTGCTGTTCCATTTGGGTTTTCTTATAATTTAACCAGCTTTTGTCCAATTTCAATTGCCTGGATTTTTGTAGACTGCAACAGACATCTCAAAATGGAAGGAAAAGAGGAAAAACAAAATAACGGTCGACACAACATTACAAAATAATTTTCATGACACAAAGCAAGCACATAAAACTGTTATTGGCTATATATCTCAGCACAAATACTTCCATAAAAACATGCACACAGATTTTACAACTACTATGTAACTGGGACAGATAAATACTTTAATTACTGGTTAATACACCATCATTTTGGTTTTATTACATATTACCATGCCATCAGACATATACATAGGAGCTATTTCAGTAAAACATCTATCTTACATCAGACTCCCAAGTTTTGTTTAGGTATAGAGCTCAACTTATAACTTGCTTACAGAAGTAATACACAGGACACCATACCATGGGCTGATGGGACTTATTTTAAAAAACCCTGGGCTTCAGTAAATGTTGAAGAGGCCATAACCAAAAAGGAAAACCTTTCTGTTTTCTATAAGAATACCAACTTTGATAATTATAGAAACCTTTGGAAAGAAACAATCATTTTTTTTAAAAACTGGAAATATTGCTAACATATATCCCTAAAGTGAAATATTTAACACATTTTGTCTTCTTTATCATATATTCTGCTATTACTATGTGTATAAACACAGATGGTTAGGGTTGGGATCAAACACACAAGGTTGACTAGTCAGTCCAGTGTTCCTCATCTTCAAGATTCCTAAATCAGATTTACCAGCCATAAAATAAATCAATTTTAGAGATGCCTTGGTGACATTATGTGGTCACTGTCAAGCAGACTGCCAGTTCAATTATATCTACTGAAAACATGTTTTTGACTGGACCAAATTGGAGCCATAGAACATTTTCATCTTATCATGAAAAGAAAATTTGTCAATGGCTTTGGAACTTTTCAAGGCAAGTTTTACAAATTATACAAAGATAAGGCAGTTTCTATCAGAAATGGGTCTCTTCCACTGGAGTAATTCCCCAAAAAGCCAAATCAGTCCATAATTTTCTAAGAGTTAAGGAAAAACTTTCAAGCACAAAACACTAGAATAATCTAGCTGTACATAGCAATTGTACATTTCATTCTGTACAGCTGTCATGGTTTGCAGTTTAGTTCATTATTCAGCTCAAATGTATTGATTCGGCCAAAGTATAACATGCTTTCCACAGAGCACACTGAACAACATCCTCTTTATCTCAGTTTATATGGTTGAGGTGGTAACTACCCGGTAATACAACCTAGAGATTAAAATAATTTCTTTCTAGAGTACAGTACCAATGTCAAAACATGATATTTCCAGCGCCATTATTAATTAGTTAATTTCTCTCAGCATTATCAAAGATCCATGTTAAAACTAGATCGTGGTTATTAAAGTTTTATGCACACATTTTTTTTTATCAAAGCCAGTTGCCAACAAAATCAGCCTGTTTATCAGTGATTTTTGTGACTCAGATATTCGAGTCCTGGGCTCATGCTTTTCACGTGGGAGTATTGGGACTCATCAAAAATTTTGGAATCGGTTTTCTTGACCAACAGTAAATCAACAATGCTGTAGGATGATACTACAATAAGTAAGCTATTTTTCAAGACCAACCACCTGTTTGAAATCTTGAAGCAAGGACATACATGTTACACCAGAAAGGAGAAATTATAGGCAGAATAAATCAATCATTATTTTGGTTATTTCTATATATGATGACTGTGTTGATGGTCATGCTCTTTTTCACTTACCCTGATTTGATTTTTTAACTGTTCAGTTTCCTGTCGTAGCGCTTCCAGTTCCGACATGATTATTTTTTAAAAAAGAAAAAAATCTGAAATGAAAAAGAATTTAAATATATTGACATTATATATTCATTTCATGTTTGAAGAAAATGTTTGCGAATATTGACAGGTGTAGTTCAAATAACTTGGCAGATGGACCTGACAAAATGACTATCAAAATCAATAAGCATATTGTCAGATCTTGCAAACTTTTGAAAACTAATGATTATCATCAGGTATCCATCTTGTAATGATGCATGTAAACGAGTAATTTTCACCAATACAAATCTCTCATTTTTGCCATTTTAAGATATGGGTCTCCTTACTGGTGGCAAGCTCATTGAACAAAGTAAGGGAGGCTCGACATATGCCATCCAGAGCAATTAAGGTAAAGAGGTGATACTGATGATTTTATAGCACACTACCTGTGTTCTCACATGTACAAGTCAGAGCTATTGGGTCTCTATCATTATGTACTATGAGAAAATGCCAAAAGTAAATTATGTAAAAAAAAAAAAAAAAAAAGAAGTGATATTTCAACACCAGTGTAAGGCCTAGGGAGTTCATAAAGAAATATCCCCTCTTGCAGTGAACTGACCCAGGAGTCACTGACGACTTTCAGTCTTGGCATAAAACATGAATGATGAGACAGAATATGTGAAACTTCTGTATATGTTACCATATATTTGGTGTTAAGATTAACTATCTTGTTGGAGTTTGTCTTTTCAAAAATTTCTATATCATGCAGACAGACATTTTTCTTCACTGATACTTTGGCAAAACAGCCTTGAAGACCTGTACTACAATTGACTAAACAGTAACTCAACCTTGGCATTGCAGTCTGGCATTTTTTAAAAAGCTTAGCGTTGACTGTTTTTGGCTGTCAACTCTATTGCTTTGACTATAGAATATCCGAGCAGACAGACACCTTTCTCATTCTCATTAATTGTTCAAAACAACAACCAGAACTATTGACGTTTTTATTTTTACCCTCAAAGTTATTGATGAAAGTGTACAATGCATGATGTGACTTGAGTAAGGTTATGTTTTCCTAACAGTTGGGTGGCTATGGAAATAAAAATGAAATAAATTTCTGATACCCAACCAACATATTTGCTAACACAAGAACAAGAACCATATTGGGGAGGGGATGCATTCAATGAGGGCGAGGAATGGATGTGTTTCGAAAATATGAAAATATACATATCAACACTCAAATCTGATGTAAAAACATGGCCAAACCCTTGTTGGAAAGCAAGTCCATGGTTATTGAAATGCAAAACTGATTCCAACTGACATTAATGAGAAATTATATGCAACCTGATCATAGTGTATTTTATACTGAGCAAAACCTGTACAAGTTTTTGCTCATATTTTTGCACAGCCTTCGAAACACTGCTTTGAGGAACAATATATAATCTGTTGTTTGATATCACGCGACTCACTTAACACACAATTCTTCACAAAGACCTCCGAGCCAGACCAAGGAAATCAATTATGATCAATATTTCAGCTCGTGTATAGCGATGTTTTTCCCAGACATACTAATGTCACCAGTGATCACTTGTACATCCAGATGAATCTTTCCCACAGAATCTGTAATCCGGTTTATACAACCACACCCATAATAATACAGAATTCTCATGCTAGTAACACGAAATATCACAAATCCTGGGCAATATGGATTTCATATGTAATTATGCAGAATTTATGCATGATCGCCATCTTTGAAAATGGCTGCTTTCACAAAATTCATGCTCAGCCACCGTCTGCATCTCCACATCCTTTAAATTTTTTCCTAAATATGATGATAATCCGTAATCAATCGCATAATTTGTTGCTCTAGTTGATTATCCAGCTGATTATACCTGTACTGCAACTATGTTGTCAAAAGATACAATGTATGATGAAGTAAACAATGACACAATATTGAATGGACTGTACGAAACGGGAACTAGATGCAAAAACGATGTTATATATCTAGATTCCCCGTTCTTTAACACGGAATGGGTATTCAGAATACAACGAGGGCTTATTTCATAGCAAAATACGACAAAATTGGACTTTGATCTGGGAAAATACAACGTAAACACTCATCTGACAGACGGAAAAGGCGGTGAGCTAACAGCTCGTCTATTGTTTGCTAGACAGCTAAATCGGCAATTTTCCTTACGATTAATTCCGCATATGCACTGAGTGTATCTTACGTGATTATACTTACAGCAATATATAAAAAGGGGGTCCGAAAACTCCCACTATTCGGTCATACAGGCTCCCGAAATCACAGTTCTCTGGCCGGCATTAATCAGTTTCCCTTTTCCTGTGATGGGGTGCGGTCTCCCTGAATCAGAATGAGAAACCCCGTAGACTGTGATAGTTAAAGCTAGTACGCATGCGTATGTCATTCTCTGACGACATCCTCATTAGCATTTCAGCCGGGTTGTCAAAATGGCAGCTAGCATATACTTAGTATACTGTTTATTCATGTACGGATTTGCAAAACGCAGGTTACTTCAGCCTTTCCTTTTGAGTTATATTTTGTTTATAGAATGTCAAGAAAACGAAAAAAAAGTTTGTATTTGCCGAAAGCTGTTAAACAGCTGCTGTCAGGTGCTTCAAGGGAGACCACCCTAATAAAATACAAGCAACATCAAACATTAAACACGAAGCTGCAGACTCAAGTTTTTGCACATCCTCAATCCTATTCCAGATTCCTTATCATTCATTATACGATATAGGGTTACGGTTCTTGTACCGCTTCTTGCTCTCAGTTTTTTTTTGCAGGAACATTGCTAATAAGTCTTGATAAAATAGTTACCCTTTAACAGGGACGTATAATACTGTATTATACGTCCCTGCCTTTAATATACCAATTCAAGTCAACAATTTTATTGTATAAATGTTACCATATATACAAACGCCGTGGACAACTAACTAAACCAGTATGAAACTTCTCTATAACCGCTATAAATGTGCATCATTATATCACAAAACGAATTCTTTATTAAATATTTAAAAGAAACCGAATTGATATTTTAACCAACTGTTTCATAATTTTTGTTTATCTACATCTCAAGATGTGTTTATCCACAAGCTGGGTACATTTATACTGGAATCGTGCTATTGTACATAATTGATTTGCTGCTTTATGTTAACGCTAACTATAAGCTGAGGAAGACCGAAGGTGACTATCCAGAAATGGAAAGTGCAAAACAAAGAATTCCTTAGTCTTCAGAACTAAATTATTGCTGTTGATAAGGTTACATAAACAGAAGTAGTAAACGGTTGATGCTGGAAAGTCGGTTTGGACATAAAATTGAATGTATCTCCTATGGACACGGATAAAGGACACTGTATAGTCCATGTGAGTATGCACAAATTCTGCTGGTAAATCTCAGCAACCAATCAACTAAACTATTTAAGATTATCCGTTTGGAGGTTTTCCCTCCATAAAGCCTAGAGGTGGAGTGAAGCGAACCTCTTACTGCGCCATTGTTGATAACGATATTAAATCAAGTTATTAAGATGCCGTGTCACCACGTATTCTTTATATGTTGATACATATCAGAGTGAACACCTGTTGATCAAACACGTAAAATAAATAATTTTATTCAGTTTTTTGTTCTTTTTTTTTTTGTAAAGTGACTTTGTGACATTTTGTATTTATTTATTTTTTATATATTCCTTTTTAACCTAGGACTTTTGATTTTTTTTTCATCTAAACTTTTTCCCAGCTTAAAATTTGCTGCAAGTGTCGAGAAATGCAAAAGTTCATTTTGTTGTCAAATTTGTTTCCTACTTTTTTTTTACGGTGACGTTCTCAAATAGGAAAAAAAGTTACGTGTCATGTTCAATAACTCGATTTTTCGTTGTTTTCTATGTAATCTTCTATTTTTTGCCTACTTTTTCCCTTTTTTAGTAAAACACACTTACACATGTTATACTGGAATGTCGTCAGTAGTTACTGCTTTATTTAACAGATGTATCATGTACCTTGATTGCAATAAGCATCTAATTTACATTTCATCTTATCAAAACCTTAAGTGCTTCTAAGTATGAAATTAATCATACAGTTCTGCTGAAAACAGTTCAGACACTCACAGATATTGAATGATGTAACCATGACTATTCCGGTGTTATAGCGTTTCGGGGTCCAAGGTACAAACGCTTGATCAAATATTGCTCGTGAGCCAAATCAGCTTAAAGATTACAATGCAAAGACTACCAATGATTATATAGAAGATGTGTATGGTTTGTTTACGGAAATCTCAGAGGAGAAAGTCATAGTCTTAATTAAAATCAATATTGGACATCCATGATTATGTAAACGTACCAATTTGTATAACAGGTACTGTTATATATCAGATAAATATTGCTGTATGAGCTGATCATTATTAAGTGTAATTTGAGACACTGGGTCGATGTAAGGATAACATAACAGCCATCTGATTTACAACTTTGTTCACCACCCAATAACACATGTATAGTACAGGGAGTAAGACAACAGAAAAGGCTGGTTTGTGTTATAGCACAATATCCAGTTACAAAATAAACGGAATCTGATACAAAGGTGTGATATGTTATACCGTCAAAATGGTGTTCTAATTCACAAGCAAGAACTTCTGTAGTAAGATAATAACTGAAGGAGTGTTTAACTTCAATTATAGAAAATGTAGCTGTAAACAGAAACGAAAAAAACAATTGACGAGAGGAAATACAGTTTTACATTGCATAGGTGCAGAGCTTTCTCTTCTTATGTTAATTTTACATCATATCCTTCCCAGTTATGCCCGTGTTTATACATTTAATGTGTATATTGGACAAATTGGACACTGATGATATCTTTGTTTATTGTTTATTGACGATAGCGAATGAGATGGTAATCTGACCTTACAGAACAATAAAGATTTTTTATAGACAGTCGTGGGTACACGTGATATTGTCTCATTTTTTGTGAGACAGTTTGGTTTGTCTTTTCGTTTTTACTTCTCTTTTTGGTTAATTGATATCACATGCTATCAAGTTTTAAAAAATAACGATGTATATATTAGAGGATAGGGCGTTTATAACACTATAACTTGTGCCCAATCTTCTTGTCACTGTTTTTGTAAATTGTAAAGCAAAATTCTCGCGACTGAAATAAATATGTTTATTCATTCGCGATATGACGCGGCGTTTGATTGGCACAGGAAAAGAATTTGCGACATTATAACCACCGGTTAAAAAAAACCCCAACTTTTCTCTATTAAGAATTGCTTATAAAAACTTTTATAAAATTATGGAGTTTAAGAAAACCAGCAGTGTAAACAGTAAAAACTGCTGAACTGTTGAATCCTAACAGAAGAATCGCAAAATTTCAAAAGCCAAAACTTAAAAAGTTATGTCATCAAATATTAAGTTATCTTAATGAAATCCACCATCTTACAATTCACAAGTCCAAACAAAATATAACCAGATTATGATCATAGTCACTTAATGTCATTTAGGCCGATTAAGAACAAATATACTTTTTACTTATATTTTTTTTCCCGACATTTTTTCAGCTCAGACAATTTTAAAGAACTGAAGCACGTACTTTCAATTTTAGTACTTAATGCCAAAGGTGTCATTTAAAAGCCAACAGATTAGTATCTTAATTTTTGTCAATTTTGTTTGGGTTCGACAGAGGTCAGTATTTCCACGATAAAACGTTAAAACAATGGTGTACATAGTCATAGGATGTCAGTTTTGAATAAGTAGATTATGCCGCAAGTTTCCACGTCAAAAATAGATATAGGAATTGTTTGTTAATAAAAATTAACTAATTAATCTCGAACTTAAAAAATGAAATTTTTCGACTGTTTCTCAGATAAGAAAAGCTTTCTTGAAAGAAAAAAGCCTATTTCCGTTTTCAAATATGCACCAAATATTTTTATTATTTGGTTCATTATCTGAAGCGTATACACTGAAAATTTCAGAAAAATTGAGAACTGGTAAAATTGCCATTTAAAGGCTCGAGCAAAGTTACTATATTTCAAGAAATTGTATGGTTAGAAGATGATGATACCGTTTTAGAGTCATCTAAACGATCATACCGTAATATTTCATCTCTACAACATTATTTCATCCAAAGCTAGCTACTGATTATCAATAGTGAACATTTATAAATAAATGAGTGAACTGGACATTACCAAGTCTGGAAAAAGTGTCAATAACTGTTGATCAAAAGAGGAAATTTATAACCTGGTTATGTTATTACTTCTTACGTTGTGTGGGTGTATCTAATAATTGTCACGAGGTGATTTCAATGTACATATTTCACAAAGTATTGTTTTCGAATTTGATGTAAATGGGTAGAAGGAGTTTTTATTTGCCTATCCATGTAATGTCCTAAATAGTAAAGAATTGCGGAACATGAACACTCATACCACATGCTCTCATGCCTGCAGAGCAGATACAATGAGAGGATTTCACAGGACCGTCAGGATCATTCATGTCAAACTGGATCCAAACATTATATTTGGTTTGAGACTTGTAACGTGGATATATCTGTCCACGAACAAGATCATCTGCTTGCTGGTATATCCAGACTTTATAGCCATCATATTCTGTTCGATGAAATGTAACCAGGCGACAGCTTGATCTGATATGTGCCGCATGCAATCGTCTCCAAGGTATTCCAAATTCAACTGAGGAAATGGAATGTTGGATGCTTTCTGCTTCTTCTACTATTCTGTTGCTCTGTGCGACATGTATAGATCGTTCTCAACCTTCTCTGCAAGGAATTTGTCTTCTTTCACACGTGCGAGCATGCGTGGTGCCATTTTGATGTCTCGCTGCTTCCGGTCTACGTCAGGCTGATACATCGGTCTTCTGAAGCAGTCCAAGCATGATGTAACAATGCGGACCAGCTTGTCAATAACTTGGCTGAAGCAACTGGATGGTAGTTGGTCCCTGAAAAACGCTTCATAGTAAGGGTCAATAGTGTCCAAAACATATCCATCAGGCAACGCTTCATAGTAAGGGTCAATAGTGTCCAAAACATATCCATCAGGCGACGCTACATAGTAAGGGCCAATAGTGTCCAAAAAATATCCATCAGGCGACGCTTCATAGTAAGGGTCAATAGTGTCCAAAACATATCCATCAGGCAACGCTTCATAGTAAGGGCCAATAGTGTCCAAAACATATCCATCAGGCGACGCTTCATAGTAAGGGCCAATAGTGTCCAAAACATATCCATCAGGCAACGCAATGGACATAATTTCAAGTAGTTGCTTTTTTCTGTCCTCCATAGGAAGCACTCTGGAACCGAGGTGATTACTCTCGTTGATATAGATATACCACCAAATAGGATGTTGACTTTCCCCCCATAAAATGTTAATATGTGAAAGCTGAGTAGTGTGCAAGGGCTTATTCACGTGAGATATAGGAAATGCTAAGACATTTGGGCACAGTAATTGTGTTCAAAATATCTACAACTTTGTGACAAAATCTAGAGAGTGATGTTTAGAACAGATTTGTGAAAACAATCATTTCATAAATAACGATAAATTGGTTTTTATTTTGCCGGGAAAAAAGTGGAGTATATCTGGCAGAAGTAGACTCTAGCCAAAAGCTGAAAGAAATGCATATTCACAATGCCATACAGCATCCTGAACTATTTCAGTCACTAGCCAGTCTATGCATGACAGGCTGAATCATACAGGTTCCTAAACTGTAATTTGGATGAATTGCCGTGAGTGAATGTCTCGTGAATGAGTTCAAGGAGATCATTTATGACTGATGATGAACTAGTGTCAGCCAATTTATCTCGTAATGGAATGCAGTTGACAACAGAAACTATAGTATTGGAATGTAAAAAATCTCCCAACGAGGTGTTCTGGACAACCAGACTGTGGTGTGCAGATTTGGGTATATCAACAGTTGTCATTATAACTAAGACATATAGAACATTTTGGATGAGAAGTTGTGGAATACTTCAGATCGTCGACATCCAAATGCGGGGTAGTGTCTGTGAATGTCTCAACATTATTTACATTGTAACTGCTGATATTCTCTCACGTATATTCTGAAAATGGAGCTTCATCATATCGGGAGTAGTCATTCTTTGTATCTGATCTTGGTCTTTTTTTACACACTTTATATAAATCTTTTGGCAAATCTTGATAATCGCTTTCCACTGATAATCCCTCTTCTATGAGCAAAGATTTTAGCCAACTGCGGTGTATCAAGACCCCTAGTCAATTTTTCGGGTTTGTCACTGTCTATGAACCTTGTATGGCAACTTGGAATGATGGACCTGTCATTCATTTGGGTGCAATAGCAAAAATATTTGGAATAACGGTACAAGATATTACTTGATGATATCACTCAGGTAATAGATATATATTGTTATACCCATCACAATTAAATTTAGAACTGTATGATTCAATAATCATTTACATACTCCAGGAATTAAATTGAATAAGTCTACCACACTCTATTGATGCTGAGGCATGTCCTTTATGCTAAGTGACTAATTTTGCCTTACCATTTCTTAACAACTACCTCTAGGCTCTAAGTACATATGTAGGATCTGTTCATTTTTGTTGTTAGGTTACTTCAATTCAGTGAATTTTTGGTGAACACTTGCCTTGTCAGAATATTGTTTATTAGAAAATTTTACTCTTTTTCATTGAAATTTATTGAAATAAAGTAAGTTTGCTCGAACCTTTAAATGGCAATTTTACAAGTTCTCAATTTTTTGTAAACACCTAAGATAACGAACCAAATAATTTGATAAAACTATTTGGTGCACTGAACTCGTAAATAAGCTTTTTTCTTTTCTTTTTATATCATTTGGTAATGAGCGCTGTGATTTTAGTACTTTTTCATGTGAAAAACTTAACTCTATTGTTACAACACTAAATTGGTCGTAGCACAGGCCCTATGAACCATTTGATTTTTTAAATCCTATATCATTGAAAGTCACTCAAGGTGCCATAAATACCATCCACTTGTATTTAATTTGGTGCGTGGGCAAAATTCCATTGTTCCTGACTGAGACCCCCTTTCTGTATTTTTTGTATACTTTTATGATATTTTCAAAGTTTGATACACATAGTACAATCTGATCTAATCCTTCAACACAATCATATTCATTATGATTAGTGTTATAGAAGATATACCGAGAGCTGGAATTTGTCATTTAAATGTCAAATTGATTCTTATATCACATCTATATCATGATAAATCCGTCATGTAAACCTTGGTCAATCCAAGTAAATAATGTCATGTCCCCAAATGTGAACATGGTATACAACAACGGAATCAACAAACAAACTAACGAGCATCCAAACATCCAGCTTCATATCACACAAATAAATAGAATGTCTCTCAAGAGACACGTAAACTTCACGTTATTGTCACCAATCTGCATCTTTTGAAATGCGGGCTGATTTTGTTTGTCAGCTTGACTAGGAATCTATGGTGCATAGGTCACCATGCAGGCTTAACTCGCATATACAAATATAATTGATAACCACTTGGCTTGTACTGTGGACATTTCGTACAGCTCTAACATTAACATGGAATTTTATAAACAATCTCTTACTGATTGCAGAACGAAATTTTTACTCTAGTTCGGATGACAACTGAAATTAAACACTAAAAATCATTTAGCCAATTCGAATCATGAAGATATATACTCACTAAAAACCTGATTCCAACATTACTTCTGCGAGTCCTTTCTTTATAGCTTTCAAACGAGATTCCCGATGTCTTACCGTAGACTGTTTAACCAGTTCATGTTGACTTGTCGTTGCAAGATCATGGTAAGTCTACCCCGAACACAGAGCAAACCTTACAGAACTCCTTTTAAATTAACTTTCACATTTTATGTTAAACATATAGCGTTTAAAAGACAGGAAAAGCATGCTGTTTAATCAAGTACTAGTAAATGTTTTCCATTTGTCTTTCTGGCACAGAAACCTGTATCGGTGATTGAGTGCTCGGATATATCAAAGACAATCATGCCGACAACATAATTGTATACTTAATCTCTCTGTATTAGAAAATCTAAAACCGTGTCACTTTAAAAATCCCCCATCAGAAACTTGGTATATAGAAATAATATTTATTTATCGCTGCTGCAATGATAGGGAATTGGCAGTAAAGTGGTCGCACGTGACTAAATATAAACTACACAAACGGCAGGGAAAAGGGGTTCCTCTCTGGGCTCCATGCTTACAAAGGAACATTCTGTAACGTATTTCACGATTCCAGATCATTTAAAACACGTGCTCAGTTTCCATTGGTTGTTTGCTTTATTAAACAAAATGCAGGGTTTTAATGCATCATTATTTTACCAACTATGCACAACCTGTTTGCTTTATCAGCATACCGTTTTATTGCTAATATCAATAAAGCAGTTTGGTCCAAAATAGCCCTGGCGACGTGCCGTTAAGCGCGAATCAAATGTGATAGGTCATTGACAGAATGTAACAAATTGAAAGATGTTATATGATAGAATTTGTGTGTAATATTTCGATGACGACACCGTCACTTTCATCAGATAAATGACTAGTGTGGACCGTACTAGCACTGACGTATGTAGTGAACAAGACGGTGTGGAATCGACCGGCTGGACAAAAACACACACACACACACACACGGAATAGTTACAATGTACCGAAGTAAATTCGGCTACGTTCTGTTTAAAATATGAAATAAGAGATTATGATTCCAAGTAAAAATAAATTATTTGCTATACATGAATTATTACATAATCAGGGGAGAGCCATGTTTAGTAACAGAACGACATTATATGTTAAAAGAATTGATTGTGAAGCAGATCGCTGAAATTGTTTAAGAGTGATTACCTCCCCTTAACTGTTGAAACCACAAAATCTATTGTTGAATGGATCGTAAAAAGTAAACATAGGCGAGTAGAATTTGCCATTAAAATGATCTCTTGTCTTTACATATGACATTTATTGACAATGCCCATCGTAAATACCCACCACAATTGTAAATCAGGGACACAACAGACTCTTCTAAATCAGCCGCTGATTTCGGTATTTTCCTTCAACGAAACCAACATGGAAAGCTTTCCACAAAGTTGTATGATAAGCGTGAGAATTTCATTTTATTTATTGCGACTACTGCATTTATGGATAGCAATATTCATGCATCCCCATCCTACCCATCCTATAGGGTTTAGATGTCGCAGTTGATTAAATATTCAAGGGTATGTTCCAAATATCACTATTGACGTGCAAGATGTCGACAACTGTTGGGAAACTACTTACACCGAGTTTCAAATGATGCAGATTGATGAAAATTATGAACAAGTCATTATGAGTGATCAAATTAAGAAACATTCTATTTCGTTTGGGCGATATGAAACTTTAGGTGTTTTGTGCTCGTTGGTTTTTCTGTCGGTTCCGTTGTTGTCGGCCATCGCAATTGGGATTTCTTGAGAAACAATCTTTCATCGAATTGAAAAAAAAGCTGAATAAAGATTTAAAAGAAGTTTATTTTCGCGGATTTCCGCAATCTGTTTTAAGGACAAAGATGATAGATATATATTTTTTGTTAAAGTACAAAAAAATACTGTTGCCTTTTCATTTGTGCATTTTTTTCTATTTTTTTTTTACAAAAAGGACAAATACACTATGTCATGATTCAGGATTATAGTATAGAATTTCGTTATTGACTAGATCATTCTTAAGGTAACGAAAACAAAAAACATATGAAAAGCATTTCTGATAAACAAGTGATCAAGTTTGACCATTACTGTTCACTGGAATGTTCATTTGCTTCACAATGAGAATAAAAAATCGTAACTAAAATGGATCTGACATAACAAAAACGAATTACTGGATGATTGTCAGTCATACAAACATATTCTGTTTCTTATAAACATTCAATGATGCCAGAGCACCGCCATCATACAGCGTGACCAAGGACTACCGTAAGCAGGAAAGTTAACAGCACTTTTGACATCCCTGTAAAGGACAAACACCACAACAATGACAATAAGCAACCGTAGCATGTTCATCATGATTTAGGACAACTCATAGCAGATGTAAAGTGCTAAAAAACATATAGTGATAATTCTATCACTAACACAAATTCTTTTCCATATACTTATATATCTATTATATATATATATATATTCCTATATGATATAGATTGAATCATTCTAAATCTTAAGCTATTTCTAAATATAATTTTAGGTATTACGGAAACGTGGAACGAATATGGAAAACAATACAAAGCGGTATTCTTAATAAAAACGCTATTTAAATTGACAAGTTTAAAGACTATGGTGACTTTCTTTAAACAATTAAACTTGAATAGTTACATGCACTCATGTAGTCTGCGGAGTCATTATAAGACATTAAAAGCTTGTATAAAAATACTCCCTCGGTGCATCTTTTAAAGTATCAAGTTGTTGATATTTTACAGGGAGTTAATCAAATACCAAAAATGTTGGTTAGTATTTCAACACACGTGTGTAGGTATGGTAGGATACTCCATCACAATCGGTCACTAGAACATACGTTGTACCTTTAATACTAGATACATTTCATGGATGTATCATAAACATCATTTACTTAATCTGATATTATTTTCAGGAATCATAATCCTGGCTTGTTACAATGTAAGTTATAAAGCTACCATGATATAGCCTTATGGTGATATCCCATTACAGGACCTACATATAACCAATCATAATGGTTTTTTTATATCTAAATGTGATATCTTTATATCTAAATGTGATATCTTTATATCTAAATGTGATATCTTTATATCTTAAATGTGATATCTTTATATCTAAATGTGATATCTTTATATCTTAAATGTGATATCTTTATATCTAAATGAGATATATTTATATCTAAATGTGATATCTTTATATCTAAATGTGATATCTTTATATCTTAAATGTGATATCTTTATATCTTAAATGTGATATCTTTATATCTTAAATGTGATATCTTTATATCTAAATGTGATATCTTTATATCTAAATGTGATATCTTTATATCTAAATGTGATATCTTTATATCTAAATGTGATATCTTTATATCTAAATGTGATATCTTTATATCTTAAATGTGATATCTGTATATCTAAATGTGATATCTTTATATCTTAAATGTGATATCTTTATATCTAAATGTGATATATTTATATCTAAATGTGATATCTTTATATCTAAATGTGATATCTTTATATCTAAATGTGATATCTTTATATCTAAATGTGATATCTTTATATCTTAAATGTGATATCTTTATATCTAAATGTGATATCTTTATATCTAAATGTGATATCTTTATATCTTAAATGTGATATCTTTATATCTAAATGTGATATCTTTATATCTTAAATGTGATATCTTTATATCTTAAATGTGATATCTTTATATCTAAATGTGATATCTTTATATCTAAATTATATCTTTATATTAAATGTGATATCTTTATATCTAAATGTGATATCTTTATATCTAAATGTGATATCTATTATATATTAAATGTGATATCTTTATATCTAAATGTATATCTAAATGTGATATCTTTATATCTTAAATGTGATATCTTTATATATTAAATGTGATATCTTTATATCTAAATGTGATATCTTTATATCTTAAATGTGATATCTTTATATCTTAAATGTGATATCTTTATATCTAAATGTGATATCTTTATATCTAAATGTATATCTTTATATCTTAAATGTGATATCTTTATATCTAAATGTGATATCTTTATATAAATGTGATATCTTTATATCTAAATGTGTGATATATCTAAATGTATATCTTTATATCTAAATGTGATATCTTTATATCTAAATGTATATCTTTATATCTAAATGTGATATCTTTATATCTAAATGTGATATCTTTATATCTTAAATGTGATATCTTTATATCTAAATGTGATATCTTTATATCTTAAATGTGATATCTTTATATCTAAATGTGATATCTTTATATCTAAATGTGATATCTTTATATCTAAATGTGATATCTTTATATCTAAATGTGATATCTTTATATCTTTATATTAAATGTGATATCTTTATATCTAAATGTGATATCTTTATATCTTAAATGTGATATCTTTATATCTAAATGTGATATCTTTATATCTAAATGTGATATCTTTATATCTAAATGTGATATCTTTATATCTTAAATGTGATATCTTTATATCTTAAATGTGATATCTTTATATCTAAATGTGATATCTTTATATCTTAAATGTGATATCTTTATATCTAAATGTGATATCTTTATATCTTAAATGTGATATCTTTATATCTAAATGTATATCTTTATATCTTAAATGTGATATCTTTATATCTAAATGTGATATCTTTATATCTTAAATGTGATATCTTTATATCTTAAATGTGATATCTTTATATCTAAATGTGATATCTTTATATCTAAATGTGATATCTTTATATCTTAAATGTGATATCTTTATATCTTAAATGTATCTTTATATCTAAATGTGATATCTTTATATCTTAAATGTATATCTTTATATCTAAATGTGATATCTTTATATCTTAAATGTGATATCTTTATATCTTAAATGTGATATCTTTATATCTAAATGTGATATCTTTATATCTAAATGTGATATCTTTATATCTTTATATCTTAAATGTGATATCTTTATATCTTAAATGTGATATCTTTATATCTTAAATGTGATATCTTTATATCTAAATGTGATATCTTTATATCTAAATGTGATATCTTTATATCTAAATGTGATATCTTTATATCTAAATGTGATATCTTTATATCTAAATGTGATATCTTTATATCTAAATGTGATATCTTTATATCTAAATGTGATATCTTTATATCTTAAATGTGATATCTTTATATCTAAATGTGATATCTTTATATCTAAATGTGATATCTTTATATCTTAAATGTGATATCTTTATATTATGTGATATCTTTATATATATCTTTATATCTAAATGTGATATCTTTATATCTTAAATGTGATATCTTTATATCTAAATGTATATCTTTATATCTTAAATGTGATATCTTTATATCTAAATGTGATATCTAAATGTGATATCTTTATATCTAATGTGATATCTTTATATCTAAATGTCTTTATATATATCTTTATATCTAAATGTATATCTTTATATCTTAAATGTGATATCTTTATATCTAAATGTGATATCTTTATATCTAAATGTGATATCTTTATATCTAAATGTGATATCTTTATATCTAAATGTGATATCTTTATATCTTAAATGTGATATCTTTATATCTTAAATGTGATATCTTTATATCTTAAATATCTTTATATCTTAAATGTGATATCTTTATATCTAAATGTGATATCTTTATATCTAAATGTGATATCTTTATATCTAAATGTGATATCTTTATATCTAAATGTGATATATTTATATCTAAATGTGATATCTTTATATCTAAATGTGATATATATCTAAATGTGATATCTTTATATCTAAATGTGATATCTTTATATCTTAAATGTGATATCTTTATATCTTAAATGTGATATCTTTATATAAATGTGATATCTTTAATGTGATATCTTTATATCTAAATGTGATATCTTTATATCTAAATGTGATATATCTTTATATCTAAATGAGGCATCTTTACATCTAAATGAGGTATCTTATATAAATATATCATTTATGTATCTATATCTATTATCTATCTATGATACAATCAGGTTGCAATTTTAATATATAATACTTACTTGTTCGCATATTTGACATCGATCCTGTAATGAAGACAAAAATTACTTTGAAAATGTTGATATAAACAAAACATACAGTATTACATAATATACCACCGATTAGTAATACCTTACGATTGTTATTTCGAACTGTCAATGATACAAAATACAGGTTTAAATTAACCGGTTTTTCATTTATGGTATTTTTGTCCAGTCATGAGGATACGGTATCCGGTCAGATCATGCTGACAACAGGCTATCATGTCATTACCCTCACCCAACTGATTGTCTCATAGTCTCATAGCCCTGGCGAAAGATGTTTCTTTTTTAAAGCTAGGAAACAAAAAGGTTGCAACAGAAAAAAAGAAATGAAATAAAAATCTTTTCTATAAGGTATCGAACAAGTCACCTTTTACTCTGTAGACGAATGGCCTCCTAATCAACTAAAATGATATTTCCATTATCATAGAATAGTTTGATGGCTTGTAAAGTTGTCTAGGAGGAACAAATATCTTAATACATATGTCCTGATTTAGATCAGGGTCTCCACTTATCCAGTATCCTATCTCTACCTCAAGTGATGTAATACAATAGGAGAAAGTAAAGAGATAATTCATTATTGATGTCAGACGAAAAATTGTTAAAACACAATAATAGGTTTCTTACCATTTGGTTCATATTCGCAGACATAGCCCACAAGTTCAAAATCAAGTTCACAGTATTCTGTGGCCCACCCCATAACTGAAGGATCCATCAGTACGCATCCTCTTTCACCAAACCCCGAGGGCTGATCTTCCGCATATGCCGTAAATGGGTTGCCCACCGCAGCTCCGTTTACATCTGAAACAATGGACGTCTTTAGATACAGCGATCGTACACTAGATACCAAACAAAAATGACTAAGTAGAGCGTTACCACTGCGACACCGATATTGACAACACAAATATAGACACAATCGGGCCCAACATATATTTGCATAACTGTGTAATATACAGGGACGTGCCAAAAGTCTGTCAGGTTTCAATTCACTGAAGAAAAGTTAGAAGTACAAAGAATATCTAGTTTTAAAAATTTCAAAAAAAACATACGTAACGTCACTATAGATGTGTTTTGACTGCCTTACCTAGTTCCCATGTGATGGCGTCTCCTCTAGCCTGTATTCTTCCTCCAATCCAGTAAAAAGACACTTCAGCTCTGTCGTTAGAATCAAGATTCTGAGCTCTCTGAAGAAGTCTGCTATTTGTTTCTGAGTTTCGAATGACAGCAAGTGAACCATTTCTGGCACGACACGCAGTAGCAGCCTGGTTCCATGTGATCGTGTCTTGTACCATGTGATAACATCGATTGTTAACCAGTAACACGTGGAATGGATCAGATGTTTCTATATAACTGCATCCTCCATCGCCTACAATTAAACGTTTCGTACAGTTAGTGCTGAATATGAAGGTACTTTAATGCAATTCCCAAAATTCGCCTATAGTTTATATTAAATACGAGGATTTGATATTAAGAGAATTCATTTCTGATGTTTGATATTTACACAATTTACTGTAAATATTTTATATGGAATAGTTTAATTTCTAATATGGAGACAGAAGATATAAAGTATTTGATATTGAGAAAGTTTACTGTGAATATTTTTATAGAGAAAGTTAACTTTAAAAAATTGACAGAGTGAAAGTTTACTGTGAATATTTGATATGAACACAGAAAACTGGAAATATTTGATATAGAGAAAGTTTATTGTAAATATTTAATGTCTAAACAGTTTATTCTAAACAGTTGTTATTTAGAAAGTATAATGCAAATGTAGAAAGTTTACTGTAGATATTTGATATGTAGACAGTTTACTGTAAACAGTGGCTATTTAGAAAGTATAATGTAAATATTTGATATGGATAAAGTTAACTGTAAATATTTTATGTCTGAACAGTTTACTGTAGATATTTGATATCCAGACAGTTTACTGTAAATATTTGTTATGGAGAAAGTTAACTGTAAATATTTGATATCCAGACTGTTTACTCTAAACAGTGGCTATTTAAAGAGTTTACGGTAAATATTTAAGATGGAGTTCGTTTACTGATTTTAAATTTGATAAGGAAAAAAGTTTACTGAAAATAATTCCTACGGAGACAATTAACGGTAAACATTTTACATTAAGGTATCATCTTTTGTTATGAGGGTATGTATAACTTTTCATTGATTCGAACTCCTAATAATATTATGTGTCGTATGTAAAGACGGTTTACTTCGATATCTGAATTTAGAATTGATATGAATGGCATCCAAACATAAGACTCAAAGTATGGTAGCATGTTTGTGACAAAGCCATTTGCAACTACAAATTGAAAACTGGAGTGAAATATTAATTTAATTCTTAACACATGATGAAGCAATTTTCAGCATGTTTCTAGTCACTTGATGAAGAGTCATACAAAATCAAGTGCTGTACTCCATAACACTACCACATCACAACATAGACGTCATCAAACCTATACAACAACCCCTGTCCCTAATGCGTGTTCCGGTGAAAGGAAGCCGAGTGAGGTGTGTAGGGAAGCTATTGAGAGGGTGATTCATGGCGTGGGCACATTTGCCTGATATTAAGCGTATTTTATAAGATGTGGATTAGAAATTACATAAGTTATGAATGTCTCCTGTATCAGAATCAGTTAAACAACACATACTACATCTCAAGTATGTGTAGTTTTAATAACTTTTTTTCTTGTTTTTATTTAAACTTCTTTAAAATTTGTTAATTATTTTATTTTCATAGTAGGGCAAGGGTTGGGGGCCTTGTGTCTAACATACATGTAATAAGTCATTGAAATATTTCTCAAAGAATACAAAATCTTGATCTCAAGTGAATAAAATTTTTTGATCCAAATTAAGAGCTAGATACAATATAGTCAAACAACAAATTAAACGGCATCATACAGCTGTTTCGTCCTTCTAGGACTTGTCAGTGATGTAACATCATACAGCTGTTTCGTCCTTCTAGGACTCGTCAGTGATGCTACATCATACAGCTGTTTCGTCCTTCTAGGACTCGTCAGTGATGCTACATCATACAGCTGTTTCGTCCTTCTAGGACTCGTCAGTGATGCTATATCATACAGCTGTTTCGTCCTTCTAGGACTTGTCAGTGATGTAACATCATACAGCTGTTTCGTCCTTCTAGGACTTGTCAGTGATGTAACATCATACAGCTGTTTCATCCTTCTAGGACTTGTCAGTGATGTTACATCATACAGCTGTTTCTTCCCTCTAGGACTTGTCAGTGATGTAACATCATACAGCTGTTTCGTCCTTCTAGGACTCGTCAGTGATGTTACATCATACAGATGTTTCGTCCTTCTAGGACTAACCAGTGATGTTACATCATACAGCTGTTTCGTCTTTGTAGGACTCGTTAGTGATGCTACATCATACAGCTGTTTCGTCCTTCTAGGACTCGTCAGTGATGCTACATCATACAGCTGTTTCGTCCTTCTAGGACTCGTCAGTGATGCTGCATTATACAGCTGTTTCATCCTTCTAGGACTTGTCAGTGATGTAACATCATACAGCTGTTTCGTCCTTCTAGGACTTGTCAGTGATGTAACATCATACAGCTGTTTCATCCTTCTAGGACTTGTCAGTGATGTAACATCATACAGCTGTTTCGTCCTTCTAGGACTTGTCAGGGATGTAACATCATACAGCTGTTTCATCCTTCTAGGACTTGTCAGTGATGTAACATCATACTGCTGTTTCGTCCTTCTAGGACTTGTCAGGGATGTAACATCATACAGCTGTTTCGTCCTTCTAGGACTTGTCAGTGGAGCTAAGTGCCTAAACTTTGAAGCCTAGAAGGTGACTGAGGAACAACCAAAGCGATCAAAAGGAAGGTCCAAATCTGGATGGGGAGGTGCACTAGCCCCACAATCAAATAAATGTCGTAATTTTCATAAATCTGATAATTTTAGAACAGCGCCAAGTACATGTGCATATTACATGTATAAACCGGGCCGCGAATAAATGAAAACGAGGCGTGTAGGTTACGGCAAACCTAAGGAACTAACAGCCCTCCAGTGTCTATCAGCTGCTATCTCAAAGACTGTAATAAAGACATATAATTGAATAGTACATTTTGATACAACTTTAGAGATATTTTATTTGTGAAAGAGTTAGAACTATTATAGATACTGAGGGCAGTAAAGAAATATTACAGATTGGCAGAAAATCCTTCAATAATTTTTATTTTCACATAAAGGGAAGTCTACACACATGATATTTTTATTATTTTAAATAAATACACCAAGATATCGTATTGATGGCGTATATGAGTAATTTTATATTGACATACATGTCCGTTGATAAGCATGAATAATCCCTACAACAGTACTTGGACATGGACAAGTACGGACATGCCTTTAGAGTACGTAACCTTTTATCAGTATTATTCCCGATGTACGGATGTTATTCTCATAGATACTACTTAAGTACTTAAACTATAATTAGATGCCGGAAACCTGTGTTAAAGAGTATAATATACCTCTCTCTGTCACGTTAATATGGGATCAAGATTGTGTGACTCTGATTAGAAAATAACTCATGGTACTAAACAACAAACATTGAATTCCATCCAGATGGATGTTAAAGGGGCACGATAGCCAATATCATACAGGGTGACAGACATACAATATCATATAGGGTGACAGACATACAATATCATACAGGGTGACAGACATACAATATCATACAGGGTGACAGACATACAATATCATACAGGGTGACAGACATACAATATCATACAGGGTGACAGACATACAATATCATACAGGGTGACAGACATACAATATCATACAAGGTGACAGACATACAATATCATACAGGGTGACAGACATACAATATCATACAGGGTGACAGACATACAATATCATACAGGGTGACAGACATACAATATCATACATATTCCAACAGTTACAATATCATACATATTCCAACAGTTAATAAACAATTTTCAGAGAGTGTTACGGTTCGACAATATCATACAGGGTGACAGACATACAATATCATACATATTCCAACAGTAAACAAACAATTTTCAGAGAGTGTTACAGTTCGACAATAGCATACAGGGTGACAGACATACAATATCATACAGGGTGACAGACATACAATATCATACAGGGTGACAGACATACAATAGCATACAGGGTGACAGACATACAATATCATACAGGGTGACAGACATACAATATCATACAGTGTGACAGATATACAATATCATACATATTCCAACAGTTAATAAACAATTTTCAGAGAGTGTTACAGTTCGACAATAGCATACAGGGTGACAGACTTACAATATCATACAGGGTGACAGACATACAATATCATACAGGGTGACAGACATACAATATCATACAGGGTGACAGACATACAATATCGTACAGGGTGACAGACATACAATATCATACAGTGTGACAGATATACAATATCATACATATTCCAACAGTTAATAAACAATTTTCAGAGAGTGTTACAGTTCGACAATAGCATACAGGGTGACAGACTTACAATATCATACAGGGTGACAGACATACAATATCATACATATTCCAACAGTTAATAAACAATGTTCAGAGAGTGTTACAGTTCGACAATAGCATACAGTGTGACAGACATACAATATCATACAGGGTGACAGACATACAATATCATACAGGGTGACAGACATACAATATCATACATATTCCAACAGTTAATAAACAATGTTCAGAGAGTGTTACAGGTCGAAAATATCATACAGGGTAACAGTACATAGCCAATTTCTATACAAGGCCTCAGATAGACAATATCATAATAAATAAGTACATACTATCTACCTGTAATAAATAAGTACATACTATCTACCCTGTAATAAATAAGTACACACTATCTACCTGTAATAAATAAGTACACACTATCTACCCTGTAATAAATAAGTACACACTATCTACCTGTAATAATACCCTGTAATAAATAAGTACACACTATCTACCCTGTAATAAATAAGTACACACTATCTACCCTGTAATAAATAAGTACACACTATCTACCCTGTAATAAATAAGTACACACTATCTACCTGTAATAAATAAGTACACACTATCTACCCTGTAATAAATAAGTACACACTATCTACCCTGTAATAAATAAGTACACACTATCTACCTGTAATAAATAAGTACACACTATCTACCTGTAATAAATAAGTACACACTATCTACCTGTAATAAATAAGTACACACTATCTACCCTGTAATAAATAAGTACAAACTATCTACCCTGTAATAAATAAGTACACACTATCTACCCTGTAATAAATAAGTACACACTATCTACCTGTAATAAATAAGTAATAAATAAGTACATACTATCTACCCTGTAATAAATAAGTACATA